GAATAAAATTTTATTCCTCAATATTTTGCTGTAAATATGTAGAAGTAAACAATCACCTACAAGTTCTAAAAACTTTGTACGAAAAGAACTTGTGGGTGATTGTTTACTTCTGACGAAGCTGTAATAGCAAAATATTGAGGAATAAAATTATATTCTGGAGATAAAGGTCCGAGTTTATTTGCATTAATAAATACGTCTAGTAAAATACTCCAGTTTGCGTTAAAAAAACAACTTAAGAATAAAAGTATTGTATACATTATATTTATTTTATGTAAAAAAAAAAAGCATTGTAATTTCTTGAATAAGATTCAAACCTTACGAAACAATTTTGTTATACCCATTCCTACAGGTTATGAAAAATAATCTAACATAAGTTGTGAACTCAACATCTTTCTTCGATTAACAACTGGATTTCATATACTACATGAACTGAATTGTATGTTTTCCCATACTCGTACTATAAATATTGAATGTTGAAAATAATAAAAACAATCTAATAATGGATTATAAGAGACTACTGGTTTAAAAGAAATGTTGCTTTAGAAGTACACTGTCCGTGAATAGAGAAAGCAGTTAATCCTACATGTATGTATTGAGAATGCTAATTGTATCTGTCTGTGTGTGATCGGGAAACATCAAATTAATCTAGTCATTATGTACTCTAGAAAAATAAACGGAAAAGAACTCGTATTGTGATTCTTTGCTTATTATTGGAACAAATATTCTGGTGTTACATAAGAGAAAAACAGTCATTATAAATACTTTTATTTTTAATGTTCTGTTGCTTATATCCTAATCATTACGAAACAATTTTCCATTTTTCTGACCCAAGGAATGACATGCAGAATAGTTTAAGGTTGCATATGACCTTTAACACCCAGAAACATATTAAGGGTGAATGTTATACTTTTTTTTTTCAACTAGACGAAGACCCTTAAAGTGACAATTTTGTGTCTATTTTTCAAACACATTTTACGATTCTCATAGTGGTTTTAACTTGTAACTTCAGATCTGTTGATGCTATAGACTTCATAATTGTCATAAATATACATTACATGTCTATCTATACTGTTTTCTATGGTAAAGTTGATAAAAAGGTTTGGATTTTATTAAATGACAATTAACGAGTCACTGTATCATATGTCCTACTCGGGGCTTTCTCATTAGTGCCATAATTTGACATTGAATTAATTTTCAGACTAATTCTTCACATCCCATCAAAGTCTAGACCCGTTTTCAGGAACATAAGACATTTCTTTATACTTATAATATGCAAATTAGCCACAGTGGTAATGTTACACAACATGTGCCAGAATATGCGTCTCTAAATATTTCAATATCGTTTCATACACAAAGCGCAATATGAAGATGTTTTTTCCGATAAAAAAGCTAAAAACCTAGATAACGCTATGTAAAGGGTATACGTCATGTTAGTGTTACAAATATGAACCGTGCCATTCCTGACCCACCTTACAGGATGATGAAAAAGTCGCACGCAAACCATGATTTTTCCATGTCTTGCCTGTGTGCCATATAATATTACATGACAGTGTCCTAACAGGATTATTTCCATACATTCTTGCAAGGCTGATGACATTCCAACAAAAGTTAATGATTTTAAAAAAATGACACGTAAAGCCTAGGACTTAATTATATATATCAGTCTGTATATTTACAAACTCATGATTTCAAATTCGATGAGGAGGAACCCACTTTGAGACTAATAATGGTTGGAGACGGCTTGAATGGGTAATGAAGAAAAACTTTAATATAAGTTTAACAAATGTACAACGTTTCGACAAGGTTTTGTCATCTTGTCGAAACATTGTACATTTACTGCTATGTTAAACTTATATTAAAGTCTTTCTTCATTACCCATTCAAGCTTTCTCCAACCATTATTAAACCCATGATTTGCAGGAATTCAATATCTTTGTGTAAATCTTACAAGAAAAGAATCTCTCCAAACATATTTATTAGTAAACTACATATTTTATAAAATCACATTTAACTAGAGCATCCCTATTAACTTTTTAACTTGTGTAACTGTGTCTATAGCAATTTCAGTTGCTTTTTCTGCTCCTTTCTGTAATACAGATTGAATATGTTGGGGTTCTTTCAGAATATCATCTATCTTTCTCTGAATAGGTTTAAGTTTTTCAATAACTATCTCAGCCAAGACCAGCTTGTATTGCGCTGTATCAAAACACGTGCTCTGTTTACAGACTTCCTCTGGAGTTAGTCCTGTAAACAGATTATGGATATTTATCAAGTTACTGACACCTGGCCGCTCTTCTGGGGAGAATGTTACAGCTGACGTAAAGTCTGTGACTGCTTTCTTAAGTTTCTCTCTGATAACATCTGGAGGATCTGTAAGTTCGATTCGACCCTTTGGATCAGCTTCTGATTTGCTCATTTTTTTGTCTGGCTGTCTCAGACTTTTTAAACGGCTGGCTGCTGTCTCTTCTACAAAGAAATAAGAAAAGTTGTATTAGAGAAGCAGACTTGAGCAGTGTAAACGGATAAAAAGTTTATTTTTAGAATTAAAACCTACTTTAACCTAAAAGAAACAAGAAAGGTTGTGGTGCGAAGGAAGACTGTTTTTATAAATTAACATTTATCATAATCATATTTTGTATATTTACATTTTTAGAAATTTAAAGTCCACATACATTCATTTACTGTGCTTCAATATTGGCTTCCTGAGTATTGTATATTATCTTGTGTACCAAGGCCAGTAGCTTTTGAATTGTCTAAAATGTCAACATGTCCTTGTATCATCAAAAGTCACATTGAACTATTTTATATCAAATATACAGAAGTCTGACAGACTTGATATTTGCTCTAACATGAAAATTAAGAATTTTTTTTATCTTATAAACTGATGTATACAATAAACTACACGTGGTAGGAAGAACAATAAATACATCGGCTCAATTCCACCCAAACAGAGGAAGAAAAAAAACAGTTATGTTCTGTGCATAGACCCTTGTGTATATTACATAAAGTTAATTATCCAAAATATTAATTCAGTTTCATGGTCAATCATAATAAACTAATACCTCAAAGTTACTGTAACTGAAGCTAAATCTTTAGAAACGAAGCACCCAAAATAATTTTAAAGAATTAACAATACAACTAGTTATGAGTGTAGTATTCTCCCTCCGCACGAAATCATCAAATAGGTACTTACCTCTGAAAGCCTCTCCTTGTTAAGTATGAATTCATACTGTCAAAAAAATTTCATAACATCCTTTACATACAATAAACATAACTTACCAACCTTCCAGTTGATTTATAGCTCACACATCAGTGGGTCTTACATAAGCTCTGCCTTCCTGCTATAAATTAGTTTTGTTTAAAAGTTACAGTTATGATGAAAATCAGTTGTGGGGAGGTGAGAAGGAAGATCTTTCAGATTTAAGTATCTGTTTGACATTCATTTTAATTCTAAAAGTGTAAAATTCTAATCAGGTAGACATACTTTTGAAATACTGAAAGCCAGAATTCCCACTCTGTAAAGGAACTGATGAGTCACTATTACAGGGTGGGAAGAGAGAATATCTAGACTACAAAAGTTGTAGTAAAATCCAAAACAAGAAACGAATTTTTAGAACTAGAAATGCTGAAAATGTGTCGACGGTGTCAACTTGCGAGCTACTGACAAACTACCTAAAGTCCAATAAACTGAAAAAGTTGTACAGCACAACTGTCAACAAAGAAACTTAACTTATAGTTGAAAAGCAGAGATTATGTATATCCACTTATCCATGTACACTGAATCACTTGAGAGTGAAGAATAGATAAGTGACATATATGATAAGCAAATACATAAAAGACATCTGTAAATTTGGAGTCATCACGTTTTTGACAACATTAGTTCAAACTCAACAAGGAAAGTTTTTGAAATGTATTGAAATCTCTCAATTTACAGGATGGCTTGCATATAATACCATTTAGAACACCACATCACATTAGTTTAAGACTAGCCCCTCTTGTGGGATTTGAAGGGAGGTTAATAAAATAAGTAGTTAAAAATTAACAGTAAAAGTTCAATTAATGCAACTTATCTAATTTTTTCAACACTAAATGTTATTATTTTAGACAAAACAAAGCACTTATCCATATTTTCCCCAAAGGACTTTTTTACAATATTTAACATATAAGAAGTAGGCTTAACACTAGTTAAGCCTATTTATGGTTTGTTAATGTGGTACTGAGTTTCTATTGTGCAATAATTTCTTTGCGAGACTTTAGTCCATTTGAAAACTTACAGTTTTTAGAATATGTGTGTCACATAAACTAGTAAAACTACTGTAAGACAAGCAGTAGCAATCTGTTTTTAGGTAATTTTCATTTATATGATGTAGGTGTTGGCAGGTAACCAACGTAACTCCACTTACAGGGTTATTTAAAGATGTTACTAAGATACTGCTTGTAAAAGTATTGGATTTGGCTAAACTTGGAAATACGTATAAACTTGAATAGATTAACCTGAGGAACAAACTTCGTATTCCAATGGGATTCAATTTACTGACCTGAACAAAATTTTCTTTATAGTGGAGATGTTTTATCCTATGCAAGATAGTTTTCATTGAAATTCCTATTTAAAATATATTTCTTAAGCTATAATCTTGAACAAGAATGAATGGCTACTTCTCAGTATAATGGAAAGTAAACTTATTCTAGTATCTTATAACACAATTTCCTTGAGATTCACACACAGAATGACCAGAACATCAAATGAAAACAAGTTTTTTGTTTGTTTCAGAGCAAAGCCACATCGGACTATCTGCTGTGTCCACCATGGGGAATATAAAACCATGGATTTTAGTGTTGTAAGTCCATAAACTTACCACTATCCCACCACGGACAAAAATAATATTTTAATACATATATTTCATTAAAGCCATGTCAATTTTTATTATGTTAGATTATACAGGTATTGAACAAGGTGATATAAACGTTTTTTACAGCAGTAGATTACCAGGTATTGAACAAGGTGATATAAACGTTTTTTACAGCAATAGATTACACAAGTATTGAACAAGGTGATATAAAAGATTTTACAGTGTTAGATTATACAGGTATTGAAGCAGCTGACTGTAATGATCATAATGCATTCACTTAATTAGTTCTTTCATAATCTCAGGTACACTGGTGGCAGGATTTTCTCTGAACTTTCATGTTATATTTCTTTTTAAAAGAAATTGTTATTGACAATATTTGACAGTAATTTTAATATATTTGTTAATTTTTGTGGATGCATAATCAAGCAGAAATGTAAGTGAACTTCGCATCCAGTGACATTTGTGCTGTGTGTTTTCAGAGCAACAGAAGTACCTGTTGGAGAAGACCAACTTCAACACATCCAGCTTGCACAGCATTTAGCTCGCTCATTCAACAACAAATTTAATTATCTCTTCCCACATCCCAAGCCATCTATAGGTAGGTCCCAACTTACCCCTTAATAAGAAAGGTCCACCTTTCGAGAGCACTCAGGTTATAGAGTTTTATAGGTAGGTGGTTTAGTTGCCAGCCAAACTTCTTCCCACATCACAAGCCATCTATAGGTAGGTCCCAGTTTACCCCTTAAAAAGAAAGGTCCACCTTTAGAGAGTGCTCGGTTATAGAGTTTTTATTGTTTTATACGTAAGTCATTTAGTTGCCGGCCAAAACTCTTCCCACATCCCAAGCCTACATAAAGTAGGTAATTTGGATGGCAATCAAACTTCTCACGTGTAAAGCCTTCACTAGGTAAGTAATTTGTTTCTTAACCAACACTTTTCTTGTACATCGCAAGGACAAGAGTGAAGAAAAGATGTTAAAGACACGTAATATTTGCAGAGAAATATATCGGAGTGCTGTAGTTACATATTATGGCCCTCATATCTTTACGTAGAACAGAATTTTAGTCTTTAAAAACCATTTTTCAGGCCTAAGACCATACATGGAACAAGAATCCTTAATCAGGAAATTGCAAATTGTAACATTAGGCTGTAAAAAACGTTTATATCACCTTGTTCAATACCTGTGTAATCTATT